CCGAGAGGGGCTACCGTAGGGAAACTCTTGCTACTGTATTCTAGGGTTTATGATTACTTCAATGACCCTAGACTTAGGAATGAATTGTGGTATATGACCCACAATAAGGAATATACCATCATTCCCATCCATCACCTGTGATCAGGAGATCAAAATTGTGGTCGCGGACACTTGCCCGCATCATGGCAATGAGGCCCGGGTTTAGGGTTTAGAGTTTTCAGGTTTAGGGGTTTAGGGTTGTAAGGTTTAGGGTTTTAAGGTTTAGGGTTTAGGGTTTTAAGGTTTAGGGGTTGATAAGGTTTAGAGTTTAGGGTTTTATGGCTCGTAGCTTGAAGCTACCCCAACCCGGTTTCTGGAACAATTCATATTTCTGATGTATTTGCAGCAGAATGTATGTGAGAACGCCCGTCTAATTATTATTCAGACCTGAACATAATTATCCATTACAGTATTTCTGCATGATGTAGTCACGAAACCCGACAATAGGGAGTTCTGAGAGTCGAGGTGTTCAGGTACGGCCCCCGAAGGCCGAGAAATGAATTTAACCATGGGCATCAGGCTACGTAGTGATTGCCATGCGCTTGCTTGCTCTTGATACATTGCTGTAGATACCTTGAATAGCGATGGTACAGGTCCATCAGCACGGATGAGCAAAAAGAGCAAAAAGCGAAACAGTGCTGATGGCAATTGGAACGGTAGTTAGCAGTGTCCAAGCTCCTGGGCTCAGAGGAAAGGCACTGATACCTAATCCATGAAGCATGATGCACAGCAGCAGCGAAAGCAATAGCTACGACAGCGGTGAAAGACTTGTCCTTTTGCAACAGCTGAATAGTAATAGTAGCCATGTTGCAACAGCTGGATGCAACAGCATCGACAGCGATGATGATGATTATGATGATGACAAGAGCAGTGGGATAGTAACAGCAGAAACGGCAACATCAGCAACAGCGTCAGCAACGTGGTACTTGCAGCAGCAAAGGCGGTAGCAAGTGTGAACAGCAGCGATAGTGTTGTCGATAGCAGCAGTGGCACAGCATATAATGTAATGTGTATATATATATATATGTATATATATATATATACAAAGTTAGCAAGGACGGCACTAGCAGTAAGAACTAGCTATGTGCTGGTTCCAAGAGAATTACTTCTGCGGTTGCTACGCCTAACCCTACTCAAGCACTCGTGCTAAAACTAAGACTACTTATCGTTCTGCTTTTGCTATTGCTGCTACTATTGCGACTGTTTCTGCTCCGACGACTCCCGCTGCTAGCCCGTAGCAGTCGAAGTCGTAGACGTGGTCACTGGTCGTCGTCTTAGTAGTAGTAGTAGTAGTAGTAGTAGTAGTAGTAGTAGTAGTAGTAGTAGTAGTAGTAGTAGTAGTAGTAGTAGTAGCTACGTTGAAGACAACAACGACTACTTCTAAGTCGCCACTCCTATGCTGCCAAGCATAAGCATGTGTTTGTGGAATCTGTGGCGACAGCCTTGGCACCTGTACCAATGCCAATAACACTCATCGTAGGATTCTGCAGCATCAGTTTCATCACCTCACGAGTAGCAGCCTGAAAAATGAGCGCACAAATGGGTAGCCATGCTAGTTATCTGTAGGAAAACAAGATTTTGCAACCAGTCCACAAGAACCACACATGTACTTGGAGGGACAGGGGACTTAGTAAGTAGGTTCTAAGAGTTATAAATGCCCTAAATGGAGTCGGAGTCACCCCAATTATAACCTCTACTTATAACCTACTTACTTAGTTCCCTGCCCCTCCAAGTAGCAGTGCTCAAGAACCCTAAACCCCTAAACCCTAAATCCTAAACCCTAGACCCCTAAACCCTAAACCCTCCCTTAAAGTCGGCAAACTGCACTTTGCCAGAAAAAAACCAGCCCTTTGTACAGGCCTGGTGCCCTGCCCGACAGGGTCGTGGGCAGCTGAGCTCGCATATTTTGACGGGTTTAGTCGTTTAAAGGGAACTCCAGAAAGTTGGAATGTGGATTAATGGTAGGACCCCCTATAATTTACCTTAAAGGGGTTAGGATAATCATATTCCAACTTTCTGGCTTCTACTGTAGTGTTTAGGATTCAGAGCGAATGAAGAGGGGTAGAGGAGGGGAAAGGGTCCGGGCATGAGCCTGGAGGATTTGCCATTCAGCCGGTATGCCGACACCCTGGAACCAAAGAGCTGTCTATACATGATCCTCTGGGAGTATGGGGACAAGACCATGCTGCCAGTTTCCCCTACTTGATACGTCAGGATTAGACGCTAGGTCTGGTGTAGCGTGATGAAGGTGAAAGCAGACGTTCCAAGCCACTAATCGTCAGGAACAAGTTCGGTGTGAAGCACCACTTCGACTTTGCAAACCCGCAGCTCGGTCAGCACCATGCAGCATCATATTATGATGAAGTCTTCAACCAAAGCCGCCGCACGACTTTGCCCTTTGTGAGGGCATTTGTTCTTATCTGTTTCTGCGTTGGAAGTCATTGCTCAAGCAAGCTGCTTCGTCTTGCGTCTATATGAACATCCGACAGGGAGTACCGAAGTTGCGCCCGTTCCCTTATCATTGTGTTATTTCTTTCCTGTGAGTTTCAGGACTTCAGAGTCATTGTGGTTCTTACTTCGTATCTCATTGGCATTACAAGGGCGTTAGCACACCCGAAAGTGCGACACCAAACCCGTGCCCTTTACAGTGCCTGGGTAAATTCCAAGCAGCCCCATACAATAACAGCGTCTTCGAACCTATCCCCAAGCCTATCTAAGACTTGATAAAACCCTCCGCCAGAGCCGGTTTCAAGTGCGAGAAAAAGGCCAGCCAAAACCCCCGAAAAGACCCTAAACCCTAAACCCTAAACCCTAATTCCAAAGAAGGCCGGCAAAGTATGACAACTACTACTTCGTGTGGACGAAGATTGAGTGCCCGGGCCGAGTGAAGCGCCGCTATGCGCAGCTTAGCAGGTGCTAAGAGCCACAGGCGAATTTTCCGTTCTAGTCCCTGCATAGATGTCGTAGAAATGTATATATATATATATATATATATATATATATATACATATGTAGATGTTCATATATGTATACATTGTGTATATGTGTATATGTATATAGGTACATATGATACTCAAGTTTTAACCTATAATTATTCAGGCCGACAAGAGCCGCTTAATTTGCAGAAGCATTGCACGATTTATCTATGAGCAGCTTCCTTGCCAGCCACTCTCTGCTTTCCAAATAGGGTTTGGGGTTTACGGGTTTTAGGGGTTTAGGGACTAGGGCATGCGCCATGCCATGCATCATCCATGCAAACAGATGCGAAGAAGCGGCAGAAAACTGGACAGAAAGCTGCCGATGCCTCTGAAATTCCGGAGTGCAGCACCTACCACTGCCTGCAGGCTCGGCACTGGACACTGCGAGAGGCTAGCAGTGCCGAAATGTTTAGGAAGTGCATAATACCACGCTTTTGGGCACACGCGTATCCCAACCCTCACCGTTGGTGAGAAGGATGAGCGTCAGCCAGAAATCTCAGTAATTCGCAGACCGCATAATTCGGGTCTAAAGTTTTGACGTGCATAGGTGAAGGAAGATCGTGGGAACCTCCGGATGTTGCTTTTGCCTGGTTCCTGCGATTCCTGCAAGGTGCATAGATTTACTCGGACCTTTCGTTCCGAGGCGACATTCGCTGAAGGAATGGCGAATGATGGGATGGCAGGCAAAACTTGCACTGCGCCGGCCCATTCGGAGTACAAAAGCCTTCCGAGACATGTCCGCAGTCTTCTGAGATCCTCGCGCACTGCACACTGACAAGCAGAAGTGAGTTATCAGCTGTCGTCTTCGGTCGTGGCAGCACGCGATGGTCTTCGTTATCATGTCAGCTGCGGTTACTTACAGCAGAACCCTTCTAGGAGCCTCACAGTACCCTTTTAGAAGCCTATGGGGTTGTTCTCTCCGCTCCCTTTCAGCTAAAGGCGCCTGGTGATGGTTTCGCTGCACTGTGCACTGCAGATTCCACGCCATGGCCCGAGAGCCCGAGCGTCACAAGTATTACTACTATTAGTACTACTATTACTATTACTATTACTATTACTATTAATTAGAGAACGGTTTGGGGCTTAGGGTTAAGGGTCTAGGGTTTAGGATTTAGGGGCCTTAGGCTAGGGTTTGGGGGCTCTTGTGCTGGAATGTAGCAGCTAATTATTTAAGATAGGAGCCTTGTACAATCGTTAGAATAGGGTTCTGGCGTTCTCATGCTGTAATACGCAAGTTTTATCAGGAGTTCCTGAAGGAATGGTATTGGTAAGTAATCAGGCCTCCATAATGTTGGATGCAAGAGAGTCTTCTTCAGGGTGTGACGTGTCGGGGCACCATTGAGAGGGTATGCGGCTCAGGAGCCTTTGATGAACCTCCTTGCAGATGTCCTTGTCGGATGTGAGGTTTCGGGTGGAGTTCTTGGAGAACTCGAACACCCTGCTTCTGGGACAGGCAGGCTGTACACTAACATCCGAGCAGATCCCAAAACTGTTCTTACGGACCAGCAGCGTGAAGTGGAGTTCTTTAACTCCAGGAAAGCTGCATGATACTCTCTTCAGCTGGTAACTTGAACCTGGTGGTGCCGTTCTGCTACAGCTCGTGGAATGTGGTGCTCTGACTCAGCAGCCTGTATTCCGCTGACCGCTGTTTCCGGCAGGTCAAGTCTGTTGACAAAGAGAACGCAGGCAATGGAGCTCGTCGGTACTTTGATTGGCTGCCCATTTTCAGCCAGATGCAGTATTCCAACATTGCACGCACCTAGGCAATCTAGGCATGCTTCTCCGATCTTCTCCGCAACCTTGAGGCTCGTTCCAGCAAACATTCGTTTATTCGAGTCAGCCCGCCGCATGCATCCCCGGCTTTACATGAGGCCCGTGTATGAGGTCACGAGGGCACTATGCCGACATTGCCAGCATGTTGTGTTTGATCAGTACCAACACGATGATAGAGGGCTTCGGTAACAGGCAAGGCTTGGATGGGCTATGCTCCCGGAGCTTCATGGTGCCAGAGCACTGCCAGTAACTCACCCGTTGTGTTCAACCCGCCTGGGCTCCTTTGACTCAGCCCTCGCTGGCTTTCCCTTCGTGGTTTCTGGCCAGGTGTGCGGGGTAGTGACTGCGACTGCAAGTATCGCCCTCCGCAAACGGCGTGTGAGCGTAGGGCGTTGCGCGATGAAGCGGATCAAGCGGGTCGCAGTGGTTGGAGGCACTCATGGCAATGAGCTCTCCGGCGTAATCTTGGTGCGCTCCTGGATGCGAAAGCCGAGTTTCTCCGAATTCAAATCTCTGAACGTGGACACATTCCTTGCCAACGAGGAAGCTGTGCAGCGCTGCCAGCGCTTCGTCGACGAGGACCTGAACAGATGCTTCGCAAAGTCGAGGCTTTCCCAAGGCTCCGATGGCTCGGACACCGAGCGCTCGGAACCGAGGCGTGCCCGGGAAATCAACTTACGGATTGGGCCAAGAGGCTCAGAAGCTGCTTCCGTGCCCTGGCTTTCTTTATGGCAAGAGCTTTCTGTGTGCGGGGTAAGTTTCCGATTTAGTATTTAGTTTGAGACTAGCTCGAGTGCAGTTCTTCACACTGGGAGAAAGGATTTGTGCATAGACCTGCACAACACCACTTCCAACTTTGGAAGTGGCATCATCATCACGAACACTTCCTCGCCGGACCTGCACTGGCGGCTCCAACTTTGTGCCCGGCTTGCCCGTGGCCTGGCTTGCGCCAATTGTGTTGACGGACGACATTCTACGCTCAGTTATCTTACTTCCTGCTTGCAGTTGCGTTGAGGTGACTGTCCGGACGTCCACGTTGTCTTCGATTGTGTTGGCGATTGTTCTGACGAGCCCTTCTTGCCGCTGGGTTCATCATTAATGGCCAGCTGCCAAAGACTTGCCGCCTTCACAGTAAAGTGAGGCCATGCAGTTCAGACAATGGCAAAGGAGTCACTTCAACTTGACACCAACTTGGCACTTCATGTAGATTAGAGGTAGAGCGCGAAGAAGTGGCATCTATACATCCTTAAGCCGCAGCCTACCCTTTGCCCAAGGCCCCCATAGCATTCGGAGATAGGGGCCTTAATAATTGCCCAAAGCGGAAAAAACCTTAAGTCATAGAGCCCTAACCCTCCTGTACCCTTCCAGACCAATTCATGTTACAGTTTACAGTTCTCGCTTGTACCCTTCCTTCCGCCGAGGCCCCTCGTAGCGAAGACGGACTTGACCTTCGAGATAGGGCCCCAGGCGCACGGCACTATCGTCGCCGAGGCCCGAATGGACGGTTGAGGGTTTAGGGTTTAGCTTCAGAGAGGTTCAACATAGGGGCCTGGATAATCCAGCTTTAGGGTTTCCTTTCTGGGGTCTATACGGGCTACTAGCAGGGCTCTATGATATAGTGGCCCGAAAAAGTACCTATACTATTGCTGCGGTTCCTTAATTTCAATTAGAGTATAATGGGCCCCAATACCCTCTTCTAATGATAAAGGCCACTATAGTAAAGGGTTTCGGGATGGTTTCAGGGTTTAGGATTGAGGGTTTCAGGGCTTGAAGATGTGGGCTTGGGAGTGTGGGGTTTAGGCTTTGGGATGTTCTTCCATGAAATTCAATGATAGTGACAGTGACGAGCGACGATACTGCCAAGGTTCTATACTACTTTGGTCTTGTGAACAAGACATTAGCAATTACGTTAGTCAGGTTATAATCACGTCAGCAACTGTGTATCACGATTATGATATTTATCATCTTCTTCTAGGAAACTAAGCGTTGCATTAGTAGTGAATACGATCCACAAGGATCTCAATCTGTAGTTGGAGTACCGCGTAGATATTCAAGCGCATGGATGATGCACAACAGCCGAACGTTGGACATGCTACTTCACTAAAACCTCTTGTCGAGGCAGAAGTGGCACTTGCACCCACAGCATTCCAACATTTGATGCTTTCGTTATCAGGTGCTCCGCAGACAGGAACAGCTCCTCGGTCTTCAAGAGTTTGACCCGTTGATCTTTCTGGTACTCCAGGTGTGCGCAATGTGGTGGCAGGGTCCGATTGTCTTCGCGTAGGATAACTCCAAAAAGTGCATGCGCAGCGTCACCCAGCTGCATCAACAGAGAAGTGCGCATGAACATGCTGGTAGTTTGTCACATCACGACATATTGTTGATTGGTCCCGCCGCTGTTCGGCTGTGCACTCGTGCTGGGAGCTTTGACCCTACGCGCAACTCCTAAATTCATCTGTGCAGCGTCTCCCGTCCTTGCACAGCTTGGCAAGATGCAAGCGCACAGCTAGGCCTACACGATTCAATCACAGACTGGGCCTTTGCACTCAACCACTTCCACTTCTTCTAAGGCAACAGCTGTCGGCCCGTAGGAATGCTGCACGGCTAGGGCTACAGCTCTTTTAGCTGCCTGCTGGCTTTTTGCTTGAGGGGCTGATGTAAAGCGAGCCGACGTGAAACTGCTTTGTGTGACTTCTCCATGCCCCGAGTGTGAGGGCCCTACTATAGAAGCTTTAACAATTACCGTCAATTACCTATACTATTTTGGGGCTTTCATATTATCATTCTAGCATAGAGGGCCCCAGAACCCTATTGTACTTGTTCAGGCCCCTGTATTGGGCCCTAGAGTCCTAGTTTCAGCTCGGCAACCGGACCCAGGCTTGTCCTGGGCACGCTGGACTTTCTGGAGCGGTACAATGCCGGGCAGCTGTCAGAGGAAGAAAGGGCGGCAAAGACAATCGAGGCAGAGAGAAGGGGCAGGGGTTGCAGGGACAAATTGCTGGCCGACGATCGTGGTGCATCCGAGAGAAGGGAACGGAGAGACAGAGAGACGGAGAGACACAAAGAGAGAGAGAGAGAGAGAGAGAGCGCTCAGGGCACGGGATCTGCTCGTGCCTGCAAGCCACCAGACGGACGGAAGGGAGTGGAGCAAGCAGGCGAGCAAAGAATAAAACACGTAGAATCATACAAGAGAAAGGAGAGGATTCGATGTCGAAGTTTGCATGAGAGCTCCGTTTCAGAATGTGCAAAGCCTCGGCTCCAGAAAGGTCTACATCCTGCAGTCCGTGGTGCATTATCCGCGGCGGTCAAACACTCAGTCTTCCCCTGCGCTGATGGGGTTCACCTGCAGAGTTTCAGCATTCATGGATGCTGACAAGCAGGCAGCACAGCAAGTCGGTGCTCGGGTCATGCACGAAATGAGAGAATGTGCCTCCTGCAAGGTCAGATGGTAGCCTTTCCGCCATCATCGCACCAACTCTGCAAGGCGCGGTTTCATGTGGTTGGTGCTTTGCTTAGCCCAGACAAGAGATGCATAGACCAATAAATACAACAAGCCGGCGCACATATCTGCCTGCCTGTCGACTTATATAGTCAATCAAGCATCTACTGTAAAAAGTGTTCAAGTCGTTTTTCTCTCCAGGTCATCTAGTATAAATCCATGCATGCGGAAAGCAAGAGCGCGAGAGAGAGGGAGAGAGAGGGAGAGAGAGACGGATCCACATGCATATCTATGTGTATGTATGTATATATATATATATATATATATATATATACTTTTACACACAATTATGAACATGTGTGCATATATATGTATGTGTATATACATGTATATATATATATATATATGTAGTTTATTCGTACAGAACTTGATTTTATACACATGTACATATACACGTCATACATTCATATATCCGTGCGTGCAATCATGAATACATACAAGACCAACGTGCTTTTGTGTTGATCACGTAACACTCAAACAGAAAAAACACACGAACACGCACACACTGACACACAGAGGAATAGACCGCGAAGGCATCATTGTGTCGATATCGGGTTGTAGCATATTGCTATTGTTATGTTGTCATTGCTACCGTTGACCTTCTGTCAGCAGGCGACTGTGCTACGTGTCAATGTTCGGTACAATTTCATCTGCTGCTACAGTTACAATACCTGCTGCTCTATATAACTACGGTACTGCAACTATAGTATGACTCCTAACCCACCTTACTCTTCTTCCGACTACCAGCAAACAAACTACTGATGCCGACGGTGATGATGCCAAATGTTAACAATGATGTTGATGATTGACTGTCTTGCCTGAGATAGGTCCGGTTCTGAGTGTCGTTTTCGGCGCCGTCGTCGCAGTAGTAGTAGTAGTAGTAGTAGTAGTAGTAGTAGTAGTAGTAGTAGTAGCGGCAGCAGCAGCAGCAGTAGTTTTAGTTGTAGTAGTTGTAGTTGTAGTTGTCGTCGTAGCAGCAGTCGTAGTCCTAGGCGCAGTGGCAGTCGTAGTGGTAGCGGTGGTGGTAGCAGCAGTAGTAATTATCAGTAGCAGTAGCAGTAGCAGTAGCAGCAGCAGTAGCAGTAGCAGTAGCCGTAGCAGTAGCAGTAGCAGCAGCAGCAGTAGCAGTAGTAGTAGTAGTAGTAGTAGTAGCAGCAGCTGTAGTGGTAGTGCTGTTGTGCATTTTGCGGGCCCCGGAAGTAAAACCTTTAGCCTAAGAGTCCTCCTTGGATGGATATGCATGCAAAGCGCAACAGAGTACTCGGAACCGGGCTTGCGTGCACTCAACCATGTACTGCTCGCGGCCTACGTCAAACTTGGGTACTCTGGATTCAAACAAACAGCCTTCCATCTTTCGTATTCCATCCCTGATTCGGTGACTACGAAAGTCTTTCGAGGACGCGACTTTAGCCTCCTGCATCCTGGCGACCCGGTCTTCCAGGCGTGGCTCAGTGCACTGCCCTAGCAGGGTTGAGCCACCACAGTCCCGTGCAAAGTCACTCGTCGGTGCTTCATCCTAAACCCTGAAGCACTGTAAGCCTAAACCCTAAACTCCTTGAGCACTCAAACCCCTAAACACTAGCTAAACCCTAGAACCTGAAGCGATAAACCCTAAGCTTTCCCAAGTTGCAAGGACATCGACACCGGGGAGAGCATCCCCTGGGAGGGGCCATCAGCTCAGCACTGTCGAGTTTGGGTCCCCCATTCATTGTCCAAGAGGCACCTAATATAGGGGCTTAAATTGGCTTAAATACCAATACTATCTTGCGGGTTCCTTACTATAATTACAGTACAACATACCGCCAAACCCTATTGTAATTATCAAGGCCCCCACAGTAAGACAAAAAGTAGCGATGCGCACCCTCTTACGGGGTTATGATATTCAGGTCAGTGCTGTATGTTTTAGATGTTTTCTGTGTCTTCCCAGTCTAAGCACGAGGCACTGGAGAGACTTGGAGAAGCTGAGGAGGTTTTGCCAAAACGGTTATCTGCAGGCTCCACAGGCATCTAAACAAAGGAACAAACTGGCCCGACCCCCAGGCTTTATCCTGGATTATCCTTGCAAAGGGGCCTCGGGAAAAAGAAACTGAGAGAGCCAGATCTCAGTCTGCATACGTTCCAGCTTGCCCAGGCCAGAGTGTTTCCCGGTCTTCGTCAATGAGGCAACTGGTTCTTGCCAGCGGCTTTGCCTGGCTACATGGGAACTCCACGCGAGAGAGACAGCGACAGAGAGAGAGAGAGAGAGAGAGAGAGAGAGCGAGAGAGGGAGAGTGAGCACGAGTGAGAGGGACCGTGCGTTTGCGTGCATTCATGCATGGATAATGTATGCAGTTACATACACAGGCATACGCAGAAATATACATGCACACATACGAAAATGCATGCACACAAACAATATAACGTATGCACATATGTAGTCATTGCTGCGTGGTAAATTGTAGTGCATTGTCTGTACCACTCAAGGGAGAGCCGATGGGTGTTCTGCACAGTGTTTAGCCACTAATTTTCGGGCGAAGGCCAGGTTGACGATAGCAGAAGCTGGGGGTTGCCTGCAGTAGCAGTTAGGCGGGCTAGCATGTCCTGATAGTCGCGCTGGACCCAAAGACTTTCACCTCTAAGCTAGGTCACTGCAGCACAGGCCAGGCAAGATGGAGCAACTAAAGCACACGAATCTGACACACAGGGGATGCGAGGATAGCCGGGTCGAGTTGAATGGGAACTCTTCCCGAAGGCCGCCTATCTACCCAGCTTCGTGGCCTTCCACCAGACTAAGAGGTGTGAGTTGGTGGTGCCAGAGTGGCTTGGCCATCGATATGGCATTCAGCCACGTTAGACTTCGATCTTGGGCCATTGATAATCTTTGACTTCTACTTCTACTCTTACTTATACTTCCACTTGAAGTTCTACTTGGACTTCTAATTCCGCTTCTACTTCTGCTTTTACTTCTCCCACTACCACTACCACTACTACTGCCTACCTACATACTTAAATACCGACCTGCCTGCCATGGCCATTGGAGTATGTAGCACTGAGGCGTCCGGGGAAGGGTTTAGGGTTTAGGGGCCTAGGGTTCAGGGGTTTGAGGTTTAGGAGTTTCAGGACTTAGACCTTCACGCTTTTGCTCTACTCCACTGGGCTTAGAGATGCACTACTTCTATAGATGTGTAGGACTGCGGCTGCTCTTCTCTTGGCAAAAGCTTCGTCCTTTTCTGGGGGGCTCCTTTACCCTGGGGGGCTCCTATACCCTATACCAAAATTTTAAATCATTCGGTTTGCTTCGTAGCCTCCCCCGTGATGGCGAGGCTATCCTGCGATGGCGCCCTCTCCGAGATTGTGATTCCCAATCTCTGAAAACACTTCAGGGATTGGGGCTTAGAGTTCAGGTGGCGTTGCTGGTCAGAACCGCTGATGGGTTGTGGATTCCGTGCAATCACGCATGTCAATCGCCAAGACTTGTTGTGGGCCCCAGCTACTAGTAACTAGTCTCGACTTCGTGATTCTATGGACGGCGTCCACGGGTCAAGAAGCGGCCGTGGGGCCAGTGCGAGACGACGGAAAAGCTGCATGCAGCTCGAAGCCTTCTGCAGCGGCACCGGGTTACATGCAGGTATCTGTGATTTCATTGAGAAGCCAGCATGCAATGAGGGATCAGAAGACAAGTCCATGACTTTGAGAATTCTTGGCCTTGGTAGCATGTGTAAGCTTTGCATCAAAATTTATTACCTATCATACTTTTGTGGGGGTCCTTGTTATAACTTTTAAGGCCTATAGTAGTTACTGGTTGCTGGGGCTCCTCCTCCTCCTCCTCCTCCTCCTCCTAATTCCGATGCCAAGCCTTCACTGATTGACTACCTGCCGCCCTGACCAGGCCCTGGAGTCCCCAAACCCTTCCGAAAAAAAAACATACATTATATACATGTATACGTTACAAATATATATATATATATATATATATATATATATATATATATATATATCCTATGATACTATAAACCATACATAGACCAACTGAAGTCTAAATCCGACTGTCACTTTGGATTGCGGCAGGCGGCAACTGCGAAACCCTAGAGCACTCAAGGCGCCGGGATAGATGCTCCAAAGGTTCGTGGAGCTGTGAGCAGAACGTGGGTTTACGCATCACGGCGAAGTCCACAGCAGTTCGAGGTGTTGTGTTGGGCTGTTATGCAGGCGATGTGGGGCGCTTCATCAGA